ATGTCCGCGACTGACTACATCAGCAAAGCTGGGGTTTTGGTGGAGGAATTCACTCTCGCCGGCCGACATATGACACTTGAAGAACAAAACCTTTACGTTCTTCAGGGGTTACGACCAGAGTTCAGGGGTTTCATGTCGTCTCTCAACGTGCGTTGCCAGCCAATTACTCTCCAAGAACTTGCGGATATCTTGGGCTCGGAGGAATTTATGACGTGCGGTGGTCCCGGAGGTGGCTCGCCGGCCGCTTTCACGACGCAAAAGGGCGGCCAGAAGGGCCGCGGTTCCGGGTGCAGTAACGGTGGCCGTGGTTCTGGCCAGAACAACGGTCAAAACAGCGGCCAAACTGGCCAGCCGCGTGGTGGTGGCGGCGGCCACGGGCGTGGTGGCGGTCGCCGTGGTGGAAGACGCAACGGCAACTGGCAACCCAAGTGTCAACTTTGTCATGTGTTAGGTCATACTGCTTCCACATGCCATCTTTGGTGTGCCATGGATCCTCAGGCTAATGTCATTTATCAAGAAACTCCTTCGGATCCTCAAGGTTCTCACACTTGGCTTCCAGATACAGGTGCCACCAATCATACCACTCCGGACATCGATGTTCTTTCCTTCTAGGAGGTCTACAATGGTAATGACACATTACGTGTTGGTGATGGTATGAGATTACCTATTTACCTATTAGTCATATATATATATATATATATATATATATATATATATATATATATATATATATATATATATATAATTAGGTTCTGGTGTGGTTAGGGTGCCCAGTTGCGGTTGTGCGGTTTAATCTGGGCCATTCATCTCGCTTAAATCAACGTTCAGGATTACTAAAATTTTATAAAAAGACGCGGTGGCAATTTTGTAATTTTTGCATCTAGGTCAAAATTAAGGTGAGCGGATCTGTGATTAATGTGCGTGAGTTTTGTGCGTAAGGTGTGTGAGGTTTGTGCTTAATGTGCGTGGGGTTGTGCTTAATGTGAGTTGTTGTTAAAACTTAAAGTCTGTGAGTTAATACTTAAAGTGCGTGGGTTTTGTGCTTATTGTGCGTGAGGTTGTGCTTAATGTGCGTGAGTTTTATACTTAATGTGCGTGAGTTTGTGCTTAATGTCAGAGTTGTTGAAACTTAAAGTCTGTGAGTTAATATTTAAAGTGGTGGGTTTTGTGCTTAATGTGCGTGAGATTGTACTTAATGTGTGTTGGATGAAGAAGCATGCAGCACGTCTAAATGGCCAAAAGCGTCTACCAAAACCAAAAGCGTCTACCAAAAGTGCGTCTTCTGTGCGTCTTCTTGTCCAACAATGTGCGTGGATTTTGTACTTAATGTGCATGAGTTTGTACTTAATGTGTGTGGGTTTTGTACTTAATGTGCGTGAGTTTGTACTTAATGTGTGTGGGTTTTGTACTTAATGTGCGTGAGTTTGTGCTTAAGATCTAACAGTTAAGGTGCGTGGCTTTCTTCCAAACACGTATTTTTTTTTTTTTTAATTTTCATTGATTTGAGCCGTTGATTTAGATTTGATCAACGGCTCAGATCTAACCACACAACCGCACGGGAAGCTATACCCGCACCTGAACCCTTCCCTATATATATATATATATATATATATATATATGTGTGTGTGTGTGTGTGTGTGTGTGTGTGTGTGTTACTTTAAGTATTTACATTATCAAGTTAAAAACGGCCACTCACCCCATATATAGTCTTTGTATGTATATATAGTACAAGTTTTTTTTTTTGAATGCTACTAGCTCTATTACATTGTAGTATCTGTTCACATACTTTCTCAACCTAGTGAAACACAAAGAGCTAATAACGCCTCCACTAAGGCTCGAACTCACAACCTTCCAAATGGAAGTCCAACCCGGGTACCATTGGACCACATAGTCCTGGTAGTACAAGTTTTAGTATTAGTATAAAAAAACTACTAAATGTTAACAACAATTGAGTTAGAGTTATTGGTTGTGCATATCTTTGGTAATAGTAAAGGTTAAAGGTTCAAATCTTGACATTATCATAATTTTGATGTGTTTTATTTTTTGTCCGTCTGTATTTTTTCACCCCCTCAACCGAATTTCTGACTCCGTCCCTGTTCGCTGCTAGGGCTGTGCATCGGACGGGTTCGGGCGGATCGGTTTAGAAAACCGTTCATCCGCTCGGATTTCGGATTTGGGAAAACTACCCCAATTCGTTCGAATTAAGAGGGAAATCCTATCGGATTTCCCATGTTCGGATACGGTCAGGTGGGGGTCGGATTTCGGTTTGAAGTCGGATTAATATAAAACATACCAAAAAAAAAAAAAAACTGTAAAAATGTTCGAACTTATTAACCCTAAACTAAATTACCAAAGCTATGTAGGCATTTAGATACATAATTACATATTGCAGTTTCCAACTTGTGTTCAAAATTCAAAAAGCAAAAATGAAGTTCACAAAATGAGAAAATCAACAATTATCAAACAACACTAAACTTTCTAAGTACTAATTACTAAAGTACTCAGCAAGTCAGCAGTCAGCAATCAGCATTCATCCATTCCTCATCTTCCTGCTCAATTATAAAACCATTAAAGGCTTTAAACTTTAAAGCCAATAAAGACAAGGAGAAGTAGAGAAGTAATAATAATTAATAAGAAAGGCTCAGATTGCTTTTTTTCATATCATTTTAGAGTTGGGGGCAAATTGCTTCATGAGTTTTGTCTCAGAGCAACATACCAAACACCCAAAGTCCTTTTAATTCAGACAAATGGTGGAAGCATCATCATAGCCATAAGTCCATAACTAAACAGAAAGGAGAATATGAGAGGAATGGAAGTGATATACCAGAATTCCAGAATACCAGAGATGTAATTGAGTAAGGGCGGCAACATTTATAAAAAAGTTACCAAGCCACTTAGCAATTAGCAGTTCTGGAATCTTACCTGAGTTGCCTCAAAGAGTCCACACATTTATCAATCAAACTAAACAGAAAGTCAGAAAGCAATGTTATATAAAAGTATTACAGCAATTATTGGGAGTGTTCCAACAGTACTTGGTAAAGAACCAGTAGCTCCAGTGGACAATTCTGCACAAAAAGGAAAAACAAAAAAGAGTTTAGAAAAGGTAACAATTAACAATTTATAAAGTTGAAACCTAGAAAGTTAGAAAAAAAAAAAAAAAAAAAAAAAAAAAAAAAAAAAAAAAACAGTACCCTTCTCTAATCTTTCAACATCATCCAAGTTTTCCTCAACAGAGATTGGATGATTGGGTGCCCTCAACCAATCTTGTGCACATACTAGGGCTTCAACAATTTTAGGAGTTAAGGAACTCCTAAAGGCATCTAATACCCTACCACTAGTACTGAATGCACTCTCAGAGGCAACAGTTGAAATGGGAACAACTAGCATATCCCTTGCCATTCTAGAGAGTATAGGAAATCAATCACTGTTGACCTTCCACCATCTTAGGACATCAAAGTCCACATTTTCTTCATCTTCCACTAATTTTTCACTTAGATAAATCTGGAGATCAGTTTCTTTACTGCTTCCACCAGACTCCATTCTCTGTTTTTTAAGCTGGCTTTTCATTCTAGCCTGAGGTTTTCCAACTGAAGTTTGAGAATGGACAGGTTCAGATTGGGTAGATTGCACAGTAGGGGATGCAGACTGCACATGGTAGGTGGCTGTATAATCATTAAACAGCAGAACCATAGAAGATTGAACCTTTTCAAAGCATGATTTTCCTTTTTCATCACCATATAACTGGGCAAATTGGGCAGGCATGTACTCAATCTTATCCCTAGGATCCAAAATATTGGCATAGAATATCAAGAAGTTCATTTTTTCAGGATCTCCCCAATATTTTTCAAATTTTTGTTTCATATGAGACCCCATTTCCTATAAAACAGACATAACACAGAAAAAATTAACACAATTCACAGATGCATACAAACACATTCAGAAAATGTTAACAATTTACCTTTTTAGAGGTTGAAACAGAGTTAACCATGTCATCCAGCATGCAACCTAAGTCAGAAATCTCAGAAAAGAAAGTATTTGAAGTGACATAGAGAAAACCAGATATTCTCACAGTCATCTCATAGAAGCCTTTCAGGAAATGGACTAAGCTTTGCACAGAAAGCCAATCCATAAAATTTGGAATAGAATCAGATAAGTCAGCATTCAATGAGGCATCATTCTCATAAGCTTCAAAGGCCCTCTGGTATTGAAGGGCAGTGTTGAGCATCATGTATGTGTTGTTCCATCTTGTTGGAACATCAAGTTGTAATGCACATTTGGCTTCCACCCCATTAAGCACAGCAATCTCTCTAAACTTCTTAAGTCTAGCAGGAGAACTCCTCACCCATCTCACAACATCTCTAACTTTCTTAACAGAAGGACCTGCATATCTCAACCCATCCTGAACCACTAAGTTCAACACATGGGCTATGCACCTCATGTGCATATATTGAACCCTAACAGAAGACCCACCCCAAGACAGAATTTTGTTCTTGAAAAACCCCAAAGCTGTGTCATTTGAAGAGGCATTATCAACAGTAACAGTGAAGACATTTTTAATCCCCCAATCAAGAAGACAACTCTCAAGGGCTTTGGCTATGTACTCTCCCTTATGAGAAGAAATTGGGACAAAGGAAATGATCTTTTTGTTAAGCTTCCACTGATCATCAATGAAATGTGCAGTAATGCACATGTAATTTATCCTTTGGACAGAGGTCCATGTATCAGTGGTCAAGCTGACCCTTTGGGTGCTCACCCTAAACAACTTTTTTAGGCTTATTCTCTCATCTAGGTAAATCTGGTAAATGTCTCTAGAAATGGTCCACCTAGAAGGGATTTGAAACCTAGGACATGCAACTAAAATGAATTTCCTAAAGCCATTTCCCTCAACAATCCTAAAGGGAAGTTCATCAACAATGATCATCTCACACAATGCCCTCCTAATAGCCTCTTGGTTGAAAACCCAAGTCCCCAAAACCCCCTCAGAAGCTTCTGTTCCAGAGGCATTAAAGGTGAGAAGAGACTGTCTTGTGTCCTTACAATGAGGATTTTTTAGGCAGGCGTTCATATGGTTTTTCAATGAGGAAGTGCCATGCTTTTTACTTTCACATTTATAAATTTTTGCACAATAAAGGCATTTGCCCTCAACTACTGGTCCCTCAGTTTCACCTTCAGCAGGTGGAGCACGGATCTTTTCAAAATGATCCCATACTATAGATCTAGACTCCACCTCTTTCCTCTTCTTTGTAGGAACAACAGGAGGAGAAGGCATAGGATTTGTCTGAGGATTTCTCTCAGTACCTTGAGCTTCTACTCCATGCTCCTCATCAGTTGAGGTTGGAGGGTGTCCAGATGCACTTATGCTTTCCATCTATAAAGATGGGCATCAGTATCCACATAAAGCAGACAACCAAACACATCTTAGGGAGATTACAAATCATACAATCATATTAAAGCTTCCACCATACAATCATACATAGAAGTATTACATATTACACTTCCACCATTATACATAGTAGTATTACATATTAGACTTCCACATATTGAACAAAATCAGATATTTAGATAGTCACAGAGAACTGAGAGAACAAGAGAAATCCAGAATCAGAAGACAGGCACCTCTTAACTTCATCATTTTTCTAGACTTCATACTTGGGACTTTAAGGGATTAACTATTAAGGGTCATACATCCATAAACTTATAACTTATACAGGCATACAGGGATACAATCACAGTATCACATTAATCACACAAAGTGACAAAGAAATCCATAAATCAGGAACCTGTTATAGCCTGAACTGTACATTCATCATTTTACTGGATTTCACAGTTGGTAATTACAATTGGGGCTTCCACCATTTTCACCAACAATGAACAGCCAACAGGGGTTAGGGACTTGGGGGTTTCCACAAACAATACAGACAAATCATACAATCACAAATAAGGGACAAGTGACATGCCATCCGGAACTTCTCAACAGATTCACACTGTCACTGTCCACATAATCATAGATTCATCAGTCATAGAAACCCTAATCAAAGTCTCAAAGATTCAAAGGCTTAAAAATTCACAAATAAGGGACATTTGATTTCACACTGCTTTCTCAAAATATTCACCACATATCATCATAATAATATAATATAACACAAAGTCACAAACATTTTCTTAATATAAACTAGGGTTTACGATTTACTTGATTTCTCCCAAATAATCCCCGGAGAACAAGGGCTTCTAATCACCAGTTCACCACGGCTTCCACCACTTAGACTCTCAGAGACAGAGAGTAAGAGATTAGAGATTAGAGATTGCGACACTTCGATTCTGAGAACCCTGAGATTAGACAATAGAGATTAAGAGATTAGAGATTTAGAGATTACAGATTAGAGAGTAAGATTGTAAGAGATTAGAGATTAGAGAAATAGAGATTAAGAGATTAGAGATTTACCTTACGGATTTACAGAATCAGAGATGACTGATGCGTGATGAGTCTTGACTCTTGAGAGAACTGAGACTCTGAGAGACTGAGAGTCTGAGAGAGTGAGACTCTGAGAGTCTGAGAGAGTGAGACTCTGAGAGAGTTGAGAGTCTGAGAGACTGAGAGAGTTGAGAGTCGAGAGAATGAGAGATGCGATCTCAGATCTCAAACCCTAGGTCAGCTGCGCAGATGAAATAATGAAGACCAAGTGGTGGAAGGCATGTATATATACATTGATGGAATGACGATGTATTATACAACGCCTTAGGGAACCCTAGGATAGTTCGGGTATTCGGACGGGTCGGTTGGCAAAATTGTATACCCCACCCGAACCTTCTAAACCGACGCCGTATTGCATGGCGGATCGGGTAAGGAGAGTCGGGTTCGGGTCATTCCGGGTTGGTCTCTCTCGGTCTTCGGGTCGGTCGGTTTGAACGGGTGGGTCGGGTTCTGCACAGCCCTATTCACTGCCAAACTCTTTATGAAAGATTGACTGAAACAAGACTACTCCTTAGCTTGTTTCAATCATTCGAATAGTAAAAATTTTTAAAAACCGTATACAAGTCTATCCCCCTCTGGATTTGTGATCCCTCCCATCGGGACCAACAATAATCTTGTTGTAGACTGGTGTGGACAATTAATAGGAATAAGTTACGATACAAAATATTTCTTATGGTTTAATTGTACCATGCATGATGAGGTATTACTTTTTTAAATAATCGTTTAGACTAGTAGTGTGTAGTATCTTAGTATATGTTGGACTTTTGAATTACATGGGCATATATATATGTAGAAGCAAGCTAAGGTACAACGTATGGAAATGCATCATGGTGAGTTGTTGACTAGCCGCCTGTTAGTTAAAACAAATTAGTTTAGTGTTGTTTAACCACCACACAGTTGTACATATAATTCAACTCAACCAACCAACTGTTACGTTCCTTCTTCTACACCGTTACGAGTTGTCCATTAATGAAAACACTCACTCCTTACCAACCCCAAATTGACTGTCTTTCCCATTTTGTGAAGCGACAAACAAGTTTGGGTCGGTACTTTGATCGATTAATTAGTATTGCAAAAGGCGTTAGGTGCTAGTTGGGCGTTAGCGCCTAGGCCCTAGAGCGTCTAGCTAGGAGGTGCCTAGGCACCGCCTAGGAGGTCTAGTAATCCGAGTATATCATTTTCTCTTTTCCCACTCAAGATTAGGAGTTGTTAGATTGTTATAATCTCTCAAACTAGTCAACTGCATATAGATGGTTAGTTGAGTACTTGGTTGGAGAAATATAGAAAAGTAGTAGTCGGGTAGGCAAAAAAAAAAACAAAAATCACTCGGTCGAGTTGAGCGCCAACTTGATCAAATTAGGGATCAACTTGGTCGAGTTAGGCGCTCAATTCGGCCGAGTTGACGCCTAAGGTGGCTAGTTAGCCGGTTTAGTCGGTTAGTCAACTAAAAGCCGTCTAAGGCTGAAATCGCCTTGGCCTAGCGGTGCCTAGGCGCCCACCTAGATCGATTTTTACAACACTGTTAATTACTGACTTTTTTTTTTTTAATTAGAGAATAGAAAATAAAAAAAATGTATATTTGTACACGTTTTTAAAATTAATAACAAAGAAATTTAAAAATATATTTTTTTTGTTTTTCAAATAAAAAAATAGAGTAATAACTATTTTCATTTATTACGTACTTCTACTTCACATATCGATCTATACACCTACCACTAATAACGGGGATTTCGCAAAGCCAATATCCATCTTACCTAATACTAATGACACTTCCAAATTCAAACCTAATATTCCATAACATAATTCTTTGAATAGTCTCAAACGTAGAAAAGAATTGTCTCCTATCTTATCTTTACTAGCTAGATACTTATATTTACTTCACTAGCATAAAACTAATTAAACTACAAATTACCAACAAAATTAGCAACGAAATAATTAAATAGTTACAACATAATTACCTACGAATTGGATTTCAATATTTTACTAACGAAAATCTGTTAGTAAATTAAATAGTTATATATAAAAATGTATAAATACATAATATAAATTATCATAATCTAGATTTGGAATAATGAGGAAAACCTATAGTCACTATTTGAGAGTGTATGCTGAGTAAACCCACCCTGCCTTGTATCCTTAGCGGTAAAGGACCATAAAGAAGTAAACCAGCTTAAGTTATTATAGCTGTTCAACTCAAATAAAGAACGTTAAAATTCGAACTCGAGTTTATATCTTTAGCCATCTTAGCTATGGTTATCCTACCATAATTTAGATTTGATACACATATCCATTGAATCAACTGCAATACTATTTATATGCATGAACATAGATTTATTCATTTACTTAACCCAAAAGAAAATGTTTCTTATTCAACAAAAAAAAGTCAATTATAGAAAGTCAAAATGAAACTATATACTACATGGCTAGATATCTCTATAAATTATTCAATAAATCCCACATGGTGTCTCCATTCCATTATCTTCGTTCTCTTCATTTCGACAGAACATTCACACTACCTCGTTTCTCATTGTTATTCCACACGTCAAGAAACCTTAAACATGGTAAATCTTCCTATTAAAAGATCAAGAGAAGAAGAGTTTGATAGCCTAACATCCATGGCTAATTGCTTAATGTTACTTTCCGGCGGCGGCCGAGGAGATAAAAATAATATTGCGGAGCAAACGAGCCAAACCGCTGGCGGCGGCGGCGGCCGGGTTTTCGAGTGCAAGACTTGCAGCCGGCAGTTCCCGTCGTTCCAAGCGCTGGGCGGCCACCGCGCCAGCCACAAACGGCCGAGAACGGCGGCGATGGTGGAGCTGCCGCCCAGCTCGCCGCCGAAGCCCAAGACCCACGAGTGCTCCATATGCGGGCAAGAGTTTGGGATCGGGCAAGCTCTGGGAGGGCACATGAGGAGGCATAGAGCCGTCGTCATGAACAGCGAGATGTCGTCGTCACCGCCGCCGGATCGCGTTGCGGCCGTTGTCAAGATTCCGGCGGGCGGCCGGAGGGTTTTGTGCTTGGATTTGAACTTGACGCCGTTGGAAAATGATTTGGAGTTTTTCAAGCTTGGGAAGATGGGCATACAAGGCTCGTGATGATGATAATAAAGATCTTTCTCCCTTTTGTGGATTCTTTTGAAAACTTGATGGATCTTGTAATTACTTAGACTAGAAATATATATTAATTTGTTCATTTTTCTACCTGCAAATTTTTCATTTTCTTTTTTAATTTTACTTATATTATTTCACTTCTGGAAATTTAAGGGGTGTATTCAATGAAGATTTTTATAAATTTTTATAAATTTTTAAAGTGATAAATTTAGAATGATTTTCATTTAATCTTTCTAAATTTTCATAAACTTTGTATAATTCCATAAAAATATGTAGGTCAAACATTTTTAATTTTTTAAAAAATTTATATTAAATTAAAATATCTATAAAAGTCGTTAAAACTTAAATTAATACATCTTAACTTGATGGATGGGCATATACAAGGCTGGTGGTGATGATAATGATATAATACCATATAGGGAGTAGTATTCTTTTTCTCCCTTTTGTGGATTCTTTTGAAAACTAGCTTGATGGATCTTGTAATTACTTAGATTAGAAATATATATATATGAATTTGTTCATATTTCTACCTGCAAATTTTTAATTTTTCATTTAATTCTACTTACATTATTTCACTTTTGGAATTTTAGTACTTTCTCTGTCCCATTTATCTGTCATATTTACTATTCCTTGGTCAAACCAACTCTTTCTTATTTGTTTACTTTTTTTTTTTTTTTGTATTTTTTACTTATTTTTAAATTTGATTTTTTTTTGTGTGTTTAATAGTACTTTTAATGTAGTTTCTAAATATATATAAATTTTGAATCGAAAGCATGCTCCATCGTACGCATCGAAAGCTTGCGACATCAACTCGGCGAAGTTGGCTTGGGCCCGAGCGATGGGCGGTGGTTGATCCATTCTTGGTGACTTATTAGTCTGCACGACAGTACACTCAATACGTGCGGCCGACTACCCGCCTGAAGTGCGGCAGCTTAATTGCTCCCTTAGATCGCCCACGGAGGCGCGGCTGTCAGCTGGTAAATCTCCTGCGTTAACTACAACAGCAACGTGACCGCTTGCCGACGGGGCCACAACGTTTTGTCCATTGTTCCGGTTGCTACGCCGGGTACGAACCATTAGCAAAGCTTAGAGACGGGACCTTTAGTTTCGATCCCCACGAACGACGCCAATGTTGGTTTCGCTGCTTTTAGGTTGCCGGTCGGCGGGCCAACACTACCGTAAAATACTATAAACGTAGAGCTTATGATGGGAAAATAGAGAATAATATTGTATTATTTCTCTAGGGCTTCAGCCGCTTGAGTGCCAAAAGAAGGCGAAAAAGCGATCCCACTACATGATGATCCCAGGAGGATACTTACACAAGAATACAAAATCCGTACAATGAAAGTAAGGTTGACGTGGAGCCAAAATCTACAAGGAAAGTAGGGCTAACATATGAGGGCGAATCAGCTATGGAAACTGGCCGCTACTGTGCCCAAATTGCCTAAAATAATAATACAATATAGGTAGATACATATATATATATATATATATATATATATATATATATATATATATATATATATATATATATATAGTCCGGATCAGGTGAGGACCTAATCTTAGGTGAGGACGTGAGGACTAATCTAGACCATTAAATCAAAATGATGTATGACTGAGATTAAAAGAAACAAATCACACGGATTAAGAAAACAAATCTCTTTAAAATATTAAAATATATAAATTTAGGATAAATCGGTCTTATTAAAAGATGTGCATTCCTATACAAAATGTTATGCATTCCTATACTGAGTGTTGTGCATCAATAACTTCATTGTTGTGCATTCAAACCCCGCCAAAAAATCATACAGTAAACATCCAATGTTCTACGATGCATTGAACTATGTGCTATAATGCACAACTCCCTAGCCTATAGTGCACAACTTACAACACTAGGTTGCACAATCAGCACACACGAATGCACAATCGTACTACCCAGACATTTATACATATACACGACAATCCAAATATAGACAATATTATACTCAAAAGAACAAGCAAAAAAAAATAAAAAATACTGATTAGTTTGCGTGGGCGAACACTCAATCAATGATGAAGAAATCGCGGCTCCAAATTGCAACGGTGATGATCCAAGAAAATAGGAAACCAATTTGGCCAAGGATTATACATGCGTTCACACTTAAAAAATAGAAAAAGACACTATTATCCCACTTTAACAAAAAAAATCAATCCATGTCATCTCAAGAACTCAAACCTGGATCATCCAAATAAAAAAAACAAACGCACAAAATTAGTCCTCACGTCCTCACCTAAGATTAGGTCCTCACCTGATCCGGATTCTATATATATATATATATATATATTTTATATAAGGAAAACCATTTTGAAGCCGGAATAGATATATACTTATGAAACTCTAATTTAAAACCGAGAATAGACTCAACAAGTAAGGGTAGGCACATTCATCAGATATAATCATGCATATAAAGATACTATCATACACCCTAAGGTCACACGACTATTTCACATCATTCATATCAGTATTCAATCATTATCTCAACACGTAAACACATTTGGTAGTGCCGCAGGACACTTCACACGCCCATACACGAAGCGCCAGCACATATAGCTCTGGCATGGCCCCGAAGCACCCTGCCTATACGGCAGCACAAGGAGATTGATCACAACCAATCGATGAACCGCAACTCATTTATAACGTTTGATCGTAACCAAACGGTGGACCGCAACCCGAATAGTACGTATATCTGATCGCAATCAGATTATGGACCGCAACCCTATATATATATATATATATATATATATATATATATATATATATATATATATATATATATATATATATATATACCCGTCTGATCGCAACCGGCCGGGTTAACAGCCGATGGTTCTCAACCCATCCAACTGCATGTATAGCCAATTGATCGCAACCAATTGGGGTATCATGCACAAATAACACATAGCCAAGCACATGCAACCCACATTAACACATAAGGAGAGGGAAATCATACATATATAACTTATGCGTGGTCAACCACATTACTAGAGATACGCCTAAGGGGTTCATGCACCATTCTCCTAGGCCTATGCGATACCAATTCGACTAGCATGCAATACACAAGACTCTTTTATCCTACGAACGGTAACCGATACATCAAACTAGACTCAAGCACGACAAACGGGGTCCAATGGTGTGACACCCCGTAATCCAAATTCAATTAAGGGATTAATTAAGTAATTAATCATAATCCAATTTCTAATTTAATTCCTAAAATTCCTGAAAATTCAATAATCGCGGACTAGTAATTGACTAGTCACCCCAAAGTCAAAAGTTGTACCTAAAGCTTTGTGAGTTGTTTCCTTGTTCCCTTACACATTTCATCTTAGTAAGAGTAAATGAGACATTTCCTTGGCAATAGTCTTTCAAGCTAACCTAGGAAGACACATTTCATTTCTTCAAACACTCTCCAAGAGAAAAATCATAAGCTCTCTCTCTTCTCTCTAAAAGCTAGTTAGCTTTCTCTCGAAGCCACACCTAGGGCTACCAAGATCTTTCAAGTTTTCTTTCAAGATTCTACCTTTCATACTTTTGAGCATCTAGAAGGGTAAGATCTAAGCTCCTCTTTTGTTTTTAGTGTTTTCTAAGGTATCTTTTTATAAAGGTGAAATCTTTATGTTGTTTTGGTGTGTTCTTGAAGTGGATGTGGACAGGGAACCTTGTTGGGAGCCTTGTGGGGTGTTTTAAGTGAAGGATAAGTCTTCAAGAGGTAACACATGCTCTACAAAATCTATTTTGCTTACCTATTTGATGATTATTGGATTCTACATGTGATTTTGCTATGAAATGTGAGTGTTTATGCATTGTCTTGTGAAAATGCATATCTAAATCTTGTGTTTAGGGTTCATGTGTGCCATTGCTTGGCTATTCCTTTGATTCAAGTTATTTTGTTGTATTTGGTGAGATTTGGCATGTTTTGGACTTGAAATTGAGCTTGGAGTTAAAAATCCCCGAAGGGATTATTATAGTGTACAGGTATGTACCCGCGGGCGGAATGGCGGGCAGTGGCCTACCCGCCGCCCCACCCGCGGGGTACAAGGTGGCTTGTGGGTGTGTACCCGCGGGCGGAACCACGGGTGGGGGTCTACCTGTGGGTCCACCCGCGGGGTACATAGTGTGGTTTGGCGAGGATTTGCTCCCCGTGATTCTTTTGACTCGGTATTTGGTCTTTTGACTTCCCGATGTTCTTTTGTGGAACTATTTGAGTGTCTTCTTGATGTTTCGTATTTTAGAACTATATGGTAGGAATCCATGTAGGTTTTGGTGTCTTGAATCGTGCTAAGTGTTCAACATTGTGATTCGTTGAACCGTGATGGGTCTGGTGTGTTCTTCGGAACTATGTTTGGTTTACCCGTTTGATAAGCATGCTAGTTCGGTGTTTAAATGCTAGCATGTGTGTTGTTTTTCCTTTCCTATTGGTTGATGATGACTTGTGTTAATCATCGTTGTTGTTGGACTGTGATCCATTCCTTGATTGAGTATGGTTTTATATCTTCGTTGTGATCCGTTGATTGATTCCTGTTGTGGTGTGGTGTGTGTGGCTGTACCTAGATTGCACGATTAATGGTATGGGACATTAGTCACCAAGGTACGGCAGTGGTCCTCGTGGTGGCCATGACGCGATTATGGAGTTTGTGACCAGAGTGATGGATTCACGTATTTCTTGGGTGGCATGTGTTGCCGTGTGTGTGATCGGTACCTCGTGTACTATGAAATCGGTGGTCTTGTTGGTGGAGGACGATGGTCCGAGGAGGGAAAAGGTTGGACTCAGAAGTACAGGGGTCCTGGAGGTAAAGGTTGGAACTAGCTATAAGGTTGGGGGTAGCCATAAGGTTGGAACCGGGCATAAGGAAGGCATATCAATTCGTGATGAGTGATGTCACGAAGGCTTGTGTAGCCGTTGTTGTGCATTTCTCTATTTGTGACGTGTGTAGTCGCAAATGCAATGTGTTGCCGATGATTGTGTCCTTATTCTTAATGTTATGCATGTCGGGTGTTAATCTACTGTGTGATGGTTAGATTATACCTTGAGCCGTTCTTGTGAGTCGTTAATGCTTCTTGTGGTCTTGGGATGTGTTCCCTTGTCTTTTGTGAATGCATAGAGTCTTGTGTTGATCTCTATCTTGGATTTTGAAATTGTTATATACTATATCCCATTTCGCAAATGATTTTGTATATATATTAACTATCTACATATGATATTTCACATGTATTGGTGGGTTACCAGCATTATTCGCTGACCGGGCGTCGTCCCTTATCTTATGTGTTTCTTTCAGGTGATGAGTACACGAGAGCGCGGTCTAGAACCTGTTAGCTTAGATCCCTTTGTTTTGAGATGTTGTGGCCTGTGTGCCAATGTTAGACATTAGTACTCTTGTTTGTGTATGGATTTAGATTGTGGATTATGCAGATGTTTCGCCTGTGCGTTCACCTTTGGGTGGGCGTGGCATAGCACCCTTTATTTCCTATTTATATAATCCCTATTTAGTCTT